CACTCAGCTTTTCTCCCTTGATGGTCCCAGGGACCTCCGCTCCTGGACTGCAAAGTCAACCACTTCCTTCCTTTTGCTGAAGAATGTCTACCTTTACATTTCCAACCCTCATAGTCAGTTCTGATAGTAATTATTTTACTGTTGAACCACAAAAGTGCTATCCACATCTCCTTTCATCAGTTCCATCCAGATTGTATACTACTCAGTGGAGAGTCTACCTTCTTCTGCACCCTCTGGATCTAGGCTCCCTCTTGAAAGCTTGTAAGCCAGTCACTTCTTATATTTGTAGTCCCCTCACCCCCATTTTGGGTAGCCAATGTCCAAGTTGCCAATCCCTGTCTACCCTGTGTATCGAGGGGGTGGGAATAATCCTCGCTGTAAAGATTTGTTCCCTCTTTTGAGCTACTGCATCCATAAGTATAGGTCAAGTTCATCAAATTGTATCAGATTACTCTTTTTTTCCTTTTCTTTCTTCTTCTAGTTGATCTCTGATCATCCAGCCATTGAAGCCAGGTCAAGTGGGTATTATCTGCAAGTCTGGGTATTCTCGTGCATATGCCCTCTCTTCTTATCAGCCGGACTCCTCATTCTCCACTCTAGTCCTCTGTGGCTATGTCACTGACTCTGGGCCCAGGAATACCCAGGTCTTGCCAAATTGCTGGCCAACTAGGTCTCTGCCTGGGTTCACAGGAGTGTATTGAACGTGGTTAGACTTAGCTCGCAGCTTCATAGCTGTTTTTCCCTCACTTCCCCTTATCGGTAACCAATGTGGTCACCAGTCAGAGCACATGTCTACTCGTGTATTCCCCCTGAGTCTTAGTCTTGAAAGGGGGTTTGCCCTGAGGGGACCTGACCGCTTGCCTTGATGTCTCCTGGGTGAACAGCTTGCTTGTTCTTGTCGTAGTCAGTCAGACTGCCATTATTGTTTTATATTTTTCCTGTCAGTCTTTCTTTCAAGAATTGGCTATATTGCTTTCACAACCACTTTGTTCATTCTTGTGGTAGTCAATGGTATATTCAATATTTTTTTGCCAACACAATAACTCAACTGCACCAATTTGAGAGATACAATTTAAAAGAACACAGGGATTTTGCTGCACTCCCAAATTAACTGTTAGTTAAAATGGGACATATAGCATTGACACAGAGTCATGGAGAGAGAATAAGGATTACAGAAGAAATTCCTACGTAAATCAATGAAGTAATATTCCTTCAGTTTTACTGACAGCATGCGGTCAGCACTTTCCCCATGTCCTCCCTGGATTTCCTGGTATCATTCATCCGGTTTCCTCCCTCCCTGCCTTCTCATCCTTGGTTTTGGGCAAATGTTGCCCTTTTGGTCTTGTATAGTTGGTTGATCCTTCTAAGGATCATGTTCCTTATAGGTGTTATTGTTTATTTTATAGGCCAGTCTATTATTTGGCTGAGAGGTGATGTATGGGAATGTCTTTAGTTCTATGTTAGAAAGTTGTCTAAAGGCAATAGTCTTGGGGGTTCTTCTATTCTCCTTCAGAAGAGTAAGTTTGGTCTTAATATATTTTTTTTATTTCAATTTTGTTAGACATTATTTATGCACTCTAACTGGGACCGTCTATTGTGGTCCTGATTAGAGTGGCTGATAGTGGTAACTGAGCACCATCTAGTTCTCTCAGGTTAGAGGACGGCTGTGGTTATGTGGGTCATTAGTCCCTTTGACTAATTACTTCCTGAGTGTTTGATTATCTTTATTCTCCCTTGCTCCAGTCAGGCAGAGACCATGAGTTGTTTTTCTGATGGCCACTTACAAGCTTTTAAAGGTTCTTACCTGTTTATATATAATCAAACTAATTTTCAAGAATTTTTGGTTATAATCTTTATCTTAGAAGATAATAATATTTTGTTTTCCTTACCCTCAGAATATCATTTGATGAACCAAAAGATATCAGAAACTAAACATATACAAGAACATTATTCTTATGATATTGTAAATGTGAATGACCCTGTTGTCATTGTTATTGTTGTTAAGGGTCCTCAATTCGGTTCTGACCCATAGTGACCCTGTATAGGGTTTCCTGGGAGTGGCTGGTAAGCTTGAACTGCTGACCTTGTGGTTCAAACTGACCTTGCAGTCCAGTGCATTAACCCACAGACACACCAGGATTTTGAAAGACCCTGTAGTAGGTGTTTTAATGCAGCCACTAAAAATATCACTACTGATTCTAATGTGAAATAATAAAATATAAAATCTCTTTGGGCTAGTGTATAATTTGGGATAATTAATTAATATTAATTTTCTAGTGGAGCGATATCATTCATTTCTAAGGGCGTCTTCATTTTTATCAGGTTAACTATGAAGGATAGCAAAAAGCTACTTTAAGAGTCTCATGCTCTACTGACTGAGCTAGCCAGGCAAAAAACTACTTTAAAGAAGCTATAAAAGCATATTCAGAGTACAAGTGTAATCTTTGGCGCAGTGGGTTAGGCATTGGGCTGCTAGCTATAATGCTGGTGATTCAAACCTACCCACCAATCCATCAGAGAAAGATGAGGCAGTCAGCTTTCTTAAAGATTTACAACCTTGGAATCCCTAAGGAGCTGTTCTTCTCTGTCCTGTAGGGTTTCAATGAGTCAGAATTGACACAAAGGCCGTGGGTTTGCTTGTTTTTATTATGTTAAAAGAGACAAATGAAAGTTAAACATGAGGAAAAGGCCCAATCTCTCCATCCTATGCATTACAATTATCATCTTCTTTTTTCCTGGTCAAATAACTATTTAGCATGTTTATTATTGTCTGTGTATCTGAATCTTAAAAATATGATCTTACCAAATACAGTGTTATATAAAAAAAATCCACATGTATATAAATATCTTTTATAGAACTCTCCCCCATATGTATAATAGTTTTGTTTGTCTCTGAAAAGATGTGTAGGTATCAGGGACTGAAAGATTAAGTAGAATGAAAAACTTGAAGCTAAAATGCTAGAAACCATTGTTGCTTCCTCTTCCCCCTTCCCACCCCCCAACCACACAGGATTAAAAAAAAACAAACCTCCTAAATATTTTGTTATAAATTGACAGAACCAAAAGATAGGCTTTAAATTTTTTTAAGAACATAAAAGCTAATCAGTGGGGAAATATAGTAGACTAGGCAGTAAGGTCAAGCAGGCTCTCTGTAGCAAGGATACAGAAAACTGGATGAGGCCGAGACAGATACAGAGAACAGTCCTGGAACCATGAGCAGCAGATAAAGGAATAGAAAAGTATATTGAGTGCTTACTGGGAGAGAGAGTTGAACAGACACAGTAAGAGAGGAGGTGACAGACCAGTAGTAGCAGCTGTCAGGACCTGTTGCAGCCATCTTGAGAGTTTGTGAATAGCTTTAGAGATGAGAAAACATAATCGAGTTACAGAAACCTACCAGTGGCTCACAGAGATGAAGGTGAGACTTTTTTTTTTTAAGACCAGCATACATCCCTAGGGAATCTTCCACTTTTCAGGCAGTTTGAGCCACTTGGAGGCTGTGGGTCTTGGGGAGAAGCTGTGTACAATAACCCCACCAGGGTAGGCTCCACTCCATATCTGCAAAATCAACCCTGGCAAGCTCTGGACTGGCTCTCACAAGGATAGGGGATTGAACAGATATGTCAGATAGACAAAAAACACACAAAAAAAGAGAAAAAACACAAAAAAAGGAAGGAGGGGAGGCAGGTAATCTGTTGTAGGTCCACTGGGTGCAGCGTAGCTGTTTTGAACTTTCTTAGATGGCTATGAAGGCAGGAGGCCAGTAGATGGTACAGCACACCACTTATTGGCAGAGAGAAAGCCAGTGACTTTCATTATTCGCTGTGTGGCTTTTTATTTATTTTTCTTTCTTTTTCTTTCCCCCCCTACTTCTTCTTGCATCACATGACAGGAGATAGCAACTGCGATTATACAACCAAGCCACAGCCATACCCTCTATAACCCTACCAATTAGGCAAGAACCAATACCAGCTTTTATACACCACAGAAGTGAATACGATCACTACTGGCTAAATGCACTCTGAATTGAACTGTACAGTAACCAGACAAGCTCATTATCTGAACACACCCACCAGGAAGCAACCACTGAGTGCTGAAGAATACATCACCATACAAATATAACAATACCAAAATGACTAGAAAGCAACAGAAAATTTCTGTTCACATGAAGAAAAAAGGCAGAGTAGCTCAAACAAACGACCAAGAGACAGAGCTAGAAACTGATTTTGAGGAAGAGCGGCACTGGAACTACCTGAAAAAAATTCAGGAGAATAATATTGAGGAACATTCAAATGTTTCACAGAAATGTTGTGTAAAAGAAGGAAGAATTCAGAAAAGTGCTACAGGAGTGAAAAAGTGAAATAGATATAACATTGGAGACAATACAGAAAATCTAGAAGATCAATACTAAGATACGAGAAATGGACAATACATTGAATGGGCAAAGGGGTAGAATTGAATCAATGGAGGCCCAAATTAGTGAGCTTTAAGATAAACCTCTCAATACTAGTAAGCTAGAAGAACAATCAGAAAAAGAGTAAAAAAGTATGAAGAAAGCTTAATATTCTTCATAAAGAAGAATAACCTATGGGTGATTGGAATTCCAGAACAGGAAGAGACAAAATCACAGAAAAGATACTCAAAGAACTCCTGGAAGAAAATTTCCCTAATACCATGAAAAATGAGATGGTAAGTATTTAAGAAGCCGAGTGAACCCCAAACAATATAGAACCCCAAAATAAAACCACCAAGATATATCATAAAACTGTCCAAAATCAAAGACAAGGAATGAATACTGAAAGTAGCTTGGGATAAATGAAATGTTACCTTCGAAGGAAAACCAGTAAGATTAAATTCTGACTTATCAGCAGAAACCATTGGAGCAAGAAGGTAATGGGAAGACACATAAGAATGTAAAAGTTGCTTAAAGCAAGGCACCATTAATTTGAAAAATATTAATCACTCTTCTACCACACTTAAGAGAAGAATGAAAACCATATTTTAAAGCTTAAAAACTCTGGCTGAATTAATTTTGTTTTCAGACCAGGTTAACTCTCAGTGAAGGTGGCTTACTGTACCTGTATATATCATGCTTGACACTGGCCCTTGACTTTTGTCCAGGTTCATAGTTTTCAGGTGGCATATAGATAATTGTCCCTCCTTCTGGTGCTGATTTGCTGCTTCGAGATTGTGATAGGGACATCATGCGCCATTTTGATAAACCGAAATCTGCAATCTGTAAAGGAAAAGAGTAAATAATTGAATTTAAAAAATATGCTCTCTCTCAAAAAGCAATTCAAGAATGGACTATTTCTGTTCATTGTATTTAGATATTAGACAATCAACATTTTACATGCATGAGCCATGAAAACCCCATTGCTACTGAGTTGATTCCAACTCACACTGACCTTATAGTAGAACTGCCCCACAGGGTTTCCAAAGTAGTAAATCTTTATGGAAGCAGACTGCCAGATTCTCTCATGCAGAAAAGTTAGTGGGTTCAAATCACCAGCTTTTTGGTTAACAGCTAAGTATTTAACCATTGTGCTGTATATATATTTGTATGAGTCCTGGTGTGGCACTGTAGCATAAGCACTCAACTGCTAACCATGCTAACCACAGGTCAGAAGTTCAAACCCACTAGTCACTCTCAGAAACCCTACACAAAGTTGCTATGAGTTGGAGATGACTTGGCAGGACTCAACAAGTATCTGTATCTATTCATGAATGTGTCTATGTGATACAGAGTCCTGGCGTGGCACTCCAGGATAAGTACTTGACCATAATGTCAGTTTGAACCTCAGGGTTGGTGGTGCAACCTTACCAGCTGCTCTTCAGATACCTTATACAGGGTCTTTATAAGTCAGAAACGACTCAGTGGCACTTAACAACCATATATATATTTCAAAACAGAAACAATATTTAATGGGAAAGGGGTGTGGGGAAGCTTTAGAGATTTAATTTATATTACTTAGACTTTCACACTACATGAAAGAGCGTCAAAAAAGTCTGTGGAAAAATTCCATCATCTTTAATTAAACGTTTCCATGAACTTTTTGAAGCCCCTTCAATTTATAAGTCAACAGTGATACTCTGAAGTTATCAGGCCTATCTGAAAAATACAGTAGATCTGGAGTTCACACATTCATTCATTTAACAAATACCTATAGAATGCTTCTATATGGCATGTGCTGAGGGCACAGCAGCTAACAAAACAGACTACGTTTCTGTCTACATGAGCCATGAAACAAATTAGTATATGCACATTGCATCACATACTGCAAAATACTATGAAAAATAAATCTTGGTACAAGGATAGAGAGGCTTAGGGGGTCTCGGTGCTGAAGGACACAGGACCTCTTTATATTACCTGTGTAGCTTTCTGTGAATCTGGAATTCAAAATAAAAAGCTGATAAAAGGTGAATAAGCTGTGAGGATATCTGGGAAAAACATTCAAGCAAGGACTTTCATAATATTTTTACAGGCAAATGAAAACATATAGGCTGTGAGAGAAGCCTTTTTGAAGTATCCCATAAAACATGAATGAGGATTCTCCACGATGCCTACTGATTAATAAAAGAACTGATATTGACCTGTAAGGAGATACTCAGTGGCATGTTTTGTAGCTTTGATCTATGTTTTATACTGCCTAATATTTATCATGACCTGAAGATACAAGAAATTAGTTATTCATTGCACCATCAGTTCATTAGTAACTAAATCACTGAAGACAGGAATATTAAAGCTAGGAATTACGGGAAATGGGAAAGGGAAATAAATTGGCTAGGTGGAGGAGATAAGAATAAAGCATTTTAAGACTATTAAGCACAAGGATATAGAAAAACTTTTTTTTTTTTAACAGAAGAAATTACCTTTACATGAAATTCATTATCTAATAAGATATTTTGAGTTTTCAAGTCATGATGAAGTAGAGGAGGATTCATATTGTGCAGGTAATTTACTCCCAGTGCAATTTCATGCAGGATGCGAAACCGCAATGGCCAAGGAACATCAGGATACTCAGTTTTCTTTATATATATGAAAAGAAATAATATAAGAATTAGTGGCCAAATTTCATTATATTTTATACTTACAAAATTAAACATTCCATGAGAAAATACTAATTTTTATAACATAATGTGAAGTTAATTATTTATTATCCTTTGATCTTACTTTTATGCCTTTTAGTGAAAATAATTATAACTTTATAGTATAGATGTTTCCTTTTAGTTTATATTGGTAATGTTGCTACATGGTGGTGGGTCTTATTCCTTTCATTGGCAGTTTTCGCTTATTTTGTAGCTATACAATGTCTGCACAATACCTATGCTCACACACACCTCCCCTGTGTTATGTTGTTAAGTGTCGTTGAGTTAACTTGTAAACAAACACATGCATATATGTACAATTTGTTTCTAATATATACCACTTATTCAAAATTTATATTCTGATTTTCTATTAATATAAAATTATAGCTTATTGTTAAAATAATCATTGCATTGATTCACATTTATATTTATTCATTAAGCATTAATATCCGATACTTTTAATAATATTGTTATTGTTGTTGTTAGATGTCATCAAATTGGTACCGACTCATAGCGACTCTATGCACAACAGAATGAACCGCTGCCCAGTCCTGTGACAACCTCACAATTGTTGCTACATTTGAATGCATTGCTGTTGCCACTGTGCCAATCCATCTGATTGGTGGTCTTTCTCTTTTTCTCTGGACCCTCCACTTTACTTCAATAATGTGGTGGTGTACCGTGGAGTCAGTTCCAACTCATAATGACCCTGCATAGGGTTTCCATGGCTGTAAATTATTATGGGAGCTGAAAGCCTCATTCTTCTCCCGTAGAATAGCTGGTAGTTTCAAACTGCTGAAAGTGAGATTAGTAGCCTGATGCTATGCTACCAGAGCTCCTTCCCCTATATTGCATCTTGAAAAATTAGCCTTTGCTAATTTTGGTTTTGTGAAGGGGAAAAACACCATCTATTTTCCAAAGCCTACATAATACAATGCGTTTTTTTAGTGTGGTGCTGTAGGAAAACACTAGACTGCTAACCACAAGATGGTCAGTTCAAACCCACCAGTCACTCTTTGGAAACTCTATACAAGGTCGCTATGAGTTGGAAAAGACTCAGTGTCCCTTAAAGACAAAAATATAATGCATACACATTTAAAACAACAGTTTTTACTTTCTGATACTTCTATGTGATATTCATATGAGCTTTCTTAAAGTAAATGTTTTTGAACATAAAGAGTTAATGCAGTTTACCAGGACAATAAACATACTAAGTAAAATGGAATTATGGGAAGGCTGACAGAGAATTACCAGGCACTGTGATACGGGTGGACTCCTGTTATGGTGCTATAGGATACGCACTGGACTGTGAACCATAAGGTTGGCAGTTCAAACTCACCAGTTACTCCTTGGAAAACCTGTATCAGGTTGTAATGAGTTGGAACCAATTTGATGGTACTTAACAACAACAACATGGCACTAGGTAGCATAGTGGGCTATGCACTGGATTATTAACAGCAAGGTGGGTGGTTCGAATCTACCACTGTCTTCTCAGGAGAAAGACGAGACTTTCTGCTCCCGTTGAGATTTGCAGCCTCAGAAAACCTACATAGGATGGCTACGAGTAAGAACTGATTAAGTGGCAAACAAAACACACACACACACACACACACACACACACACACACACAGGGCACTGGGTACATTTTTCAATTTCTTTGAAAAATATATACTTGTCCTGAAAGCTCAGAACTGTTCTTGAAATGTTTTTCTGAAAATAGGGCAGTTTCTAGTTCAGTGATCAACCAGGCAGGGGAGTGGTACAATGTACTTTGATTTTTGCCAATAATCGTTTATGTTGTTTGGGTGGGTGTTGGTGATTTATAATAAATCCCACTCTTAATAATATAATTATGGAAAACCAAAAGGAAAAGAAACTACTAATGTGGTACATTACTTCCCCTGGCATACATAGAGCTCCTTTGTCTTCAGTTCTGAATTTTTTTTTTTTTT